ATTAAAATTTTATTATAAAAATTAATTTTAAAAAAATTAACGCAGGCAAATTTGCCTGTGTTACAATCTAAGAGATACACATCAAATATAATTCATACATATCTGAGGTTTTATGTATTGTACAATTTTTCTTACATTGTAATAACACTTATCTAAAACCTTATATACTGTGCATTTTAGAATTTTTTTTTTTAATTTTATATAGTATACAAATGTTTTTCATTTATTAGTAATATCAAGTATCTTACACATAATGTAAGTATTTTTTATTTTTTATATTTTTTTGTCAAGAATATTACATTAATCTAAAATTTTTTATTTTTAATTTGTTAGTATATCAAGAAAGAGACTTATAATAATATAATTAAGCTTTATACAAATAAATTTATATATTTTTAGAGCAATGAACCCAATTTTTGTTTTATCTGAAACATTTATTTCTGATCAAAAATGTGCTCTCTTATTTAATATCAATGAATCACTTGAAATTCCTATGCAGGAATTTGATAATAAATAGTAACCACTTATTACAAATATTTGGACTAGATTTAGTTATAGAGAACTTGTTAATGGTAATTCATGAAAGTCTTATATGTATCATTTTTCTAAACATAATAAGTCAAGTTTTTGTAAAGAAAATATTCTTTATGAAGATCGTAGAAAAACAAAAGTTAGACCACCTAAATTGTGTTTTGCAAAAATTAGAAGGTCACATTATATTTTAGAAAAGAAAATTAGAGTTGAGCATTGTACAAACTCACCTAACTATACACATATATTGGAAGAAAGTAACAAACTTAAGCATTCTCAAGCTATTTGGTCGTTAGTTAAAGAAGAAGTACTTAAAAACTATCAACTACCAGAAATAATAAATGCAATAAAGGAGTTGATCACTAAAGAGTTAGGTTTAGACACAAATGTAAAGGAATTGCAATATATAGAAGTTACAAACATTAAATACAAGGTTCATGGCTCTCTTAAGACATATCTTATAGATAATTCAAAGTTTGAATTGAATCTTAGTGATATAATTTCATTTTTTAAACAACAAGGATATTATGTTAAACATTTTAAAGTATCTACAAAGTTTGCTTAGAGCTTAGTTTTTGCACATTCTAATCATAGTAACAATCTCGAATAATATGAATAGTTAACTTTAATTGACTTCACTCACCAAATGAATTGGTATGACTATAGTTTATTTACTTTGTATATTCGTAATAAGTATGGTTGTTGGGAAACTGGTGCACATTTTTTTGTAAGTAATAAGAATAGTAATACAGTTGAAAAAACTTTGAAGTTGGTTTGACAGTTTGGACGCTAGTAGAAACCAAAGTATTTTCTTGCAGATCAAAGTAATATAAAAGAAAATAGTATAAATATGGCATTTCCAGGTTTTCAAAATGGTGAACCAGGTTGTCATGTAATTTTTTGTGTTGTGTATATAATGAGAAGTTGGATAGGCAAAATTTATGAGCCAACAATTTGAAAAAAAATGATTCAGGTAATAAATACAAAGACCAAAACAGAGTGTAAAAGTCTTGTTTATCAAGCAATTAATGAGTATATGATATTAACAATTAAAAAATATATTGAAAGATATTATTCATGTAATACTTATCAGTGGGCTCTTTGGGCCTGATAGCATTTACTACTTCTCTTACAAGTGACTACAACAAATCCACTTAAATCATATCATAGCAAATTAAAGTGTATTACTTCCAGACGATATGACTTAGTTGGTATGATGTATTTTTTTTTAGTTTTAAGTTGAGAATCTAGACATTAGTAGCATATTTTATTAATTATAATATAGCAGTATATACAAAATTAAATAAATTCTTGTAATTTAAGTATATTTTGAATAAAGGTTGGTTAGCATTTATCTGATCAAATTCAATTAATTTTTTTTATTTTAATTCTATAGTTATATAGAATTAAAATAAAAAATTTTAATTAAATTTAATCAGATAAATGTAAGTAACCTTTATTCAAAGTTTGGTAGTAAATTAATTTAAAAATATTAATCTGTCAACTTTACTTATATTTTAGATGCAGCTCATAAAATTGTTGAAATTGACTTAAAAAAATATTCAGATTCGAAATATGTTGTTTTTAATTTTCATATTATAAAAATTTCAGTAGCTGATATTGATCATGACATTCTTCAAGAAATTTATCGATTTCCATTTCCTATTCAATGATTACTTGCAAATGAGTTTTGTGCCATTAAAGAAAGAATTGAGAAAGGAAAGATTGCATCAGGCCTTACATCGCTTAGTTGTAAATGTTTTTTTTTTAGTTGATATTTATTATCTTGCCGATATATCTTTCATGAGCACAAATATGATGATGTAAAATTGCTAACAGCTGATGTATGGAAAAAATTTTAACAGGTACTGGATTTGATATATATACTTCACAAGAGTTAAAAAATGAAAAAAATCTAAAAAAATTGAAGCTAAGAAGACTGTAGGAAGTAAACATCTTGTTATAAATGAGTTAATTGAAAGAGTATATGATGTATATTGGAGAATTAAGAAAAGAGGCAATTCAGAACAAACTAATATGTTTGTTCAAGAATTAAATGTATGTTTAGAACCTATCTTAAATAGCAAAAATAATGAAATATTAATATAGCAAACAATTAAATAAATACAGTAGCTGATTTAATGTTGTTTTGATTTTTTTGTTAAAATTTATTAAATTTTTTTTTAAATTTTTTATTTGTTAAAGTTTTTATATAAAAATATTTTGCTTAAATTTCTTATTTGAATACTTTAATAAATTAAAACTTATTTTTATTGCTATGCTGTTATTACTGTAAACTAATAAAATACTTTATAAGATATAAATAGAATAGTTTTAACTTGGTCACATGATTTAACTATCTTTATATAAGAGATGTTTAAAGCAGAAGCAACTTATATTTAATAATTTTTTTGATTAACTTTTGGGTTAGAGTTTTCTATATTATGGTTAGGTTTGGCTTTAGGTAGATATATATATGCAAAATTGACTTTTTAACATTTTTGCTTAACCCACCTAAGGCAGGTTTAGACTGCTATTTTTTGGATTTTTTGAATTTTTTATTTTTTATTTTTTGTTTGTTTCGCCAGTGATCATTAAAATTCTTTAATTTAATTGGCTGTTGATCACATGACTGCCTCCACTTTAGATGACCCCTTTATATAGTGTCTAACTATTGATATGCACTATTGGTCAGCAGATCACATGACTGCACATAGCTTTAAATGATCTGTTAATATAGTATTTATAAATTTAATATAACGTTTTTTAAGTTATATAATACATCTGAAACCTTCTAATAATTAATAGATAAAGTATATAAAGATATTGTATAGAAATTTGTAGTAGTCTATTTTAATGATACTATAATATATTTTAAGATTTTTAATGAATTTAGAATATTTATAACAAATTTTTATTAAAATTTAAAAAGCTGATTTATAATTAAATTTAAAAAAATATAAGTTTTAAATGCAAAGTTTATTATTTTTAAAATATATAGTTATCTTTATTAGAATAGCATCTGATTCTTAAAAGATAGAAGCAGTTCAAAAGATCTAACTATTTACTAATGTAAACTAACTATATTTATTCTTAAAACTATTAAATTACTACTAACAGTTTATTTATAACTTTTTAAAGTAGTACAGTCTCTAAACTAGTTATTATATAAAAAAACTCTTTATATATAAGATAAACTACAACAGAAAGCTTTAAAAAATTAAAACAAAGACTTACTACAGCTTTTATTTTAAAGTATTATAACTTTGATAGACTATTTATCTTAACTACTAATGCCTCTTATTATAGATTTAGAGCTACTCTTAGTCAATTAGATAAAAATAAAAAAAAACATCTTGTAGTCTATGTTAGTAAAAGTTTAACCAAAGAAGAAGTCAATTATGATGTTATTGAACTATAATGTGTTGCTATTATATAGATTATTAAACATTTTTATAAATATATTAGAACTGCCAAATTTATTCTAATTATAGATTATTCTGTTTTTAAATAGTTATAATCTGCTGAACTTAAAAATACTTAGAATGGTGAATTTTAAAAGTTTAGTTTTATAACTTTAAAATTATTCATAAACTAAAAAGAATTTACTTTAATATAAATATCTTATCTTAATTCTAAACTCAGATCTTATACCAAAATTCTTTTTTATAAATTTAAACCTTTATTATAATTTATATAATTATATAAAATTAGACAAATTATTTAATTCTTTATTACAAAAACAAATTAAATAAATACAATATTGTATTAGACAGTTTATTACTAAAAAAGAATTATTATATAAGAAAAACAAAACAAAATCTCAGTACTCTCTTTATGTTATCAAATGAAATAAAATAGAATATGTTATATATATGATGTATAAACATCTTACTGCAGATTACTTATAAACAGATGCTATATATTATAAAATAGTTAAATAATACTATTAAGATCAAATATATTAGAATATATAAAAATATATTAAAACATGTAAAGAATACCAAAAGAGACTAAAAGACTAATAAATTAAACCTTTACATTTTATTCAAATTAAATAAGCTTTTAAATAAATTAGAATTGATCTAATAAAATCTCTACTAATTACCAAATAAAATAGTTAATATATTATTATTATTATTAATTATTTAACAAGATAGTTAGAAGTATATACTATATATAATGCCAGAGCAAATACTTCAGCTTAGTTTATTTTTAAAAAAATTATTTGTTAATATAGAACACTAAAGATTATTTTTTTTAATCAAAGAAGAAATTTTATTAATAAACTGTTCATATTCTATATAAAAAGTTTTTTATAAAACATAAATTCTCTTTACTATATTATTTATAAATAAATAGAATAATTAAATATCTTAATCAAACTTTATATGAATTATTTGCTAAAGTTAAAGAAGATAATAACTGAAACTTATATATACCTATTATACTACTTACTTATTAAACAAAGAAGTATATAGAGTATGGTGATCTAGTGAAGTGGTCAGGTTGTCAACCCCTCAAGTGGTAGATTGGATGTTCAAATTCCATTAACAGTAAAAATTTGGATAATCACTTATGTAATATTCATATTATGGCAACTGTTACTAATGATTAGATTAGGATACCTGTAATGGCAGTCACACCAGCATAACTGGCAGGTCATGAGGCATCTGTATAAGTATGGCATTATACAGAGAAATGAAAACTGACAAATTGGGTAGTGCAAATATTAGATAAGTCCTTGTTGCCATGTAAATCTATTAAAATTGGGTAACAAGAAGTTCATTTAGGAAGACCCGAATAGAGAAGTAGCTAGATCTTTGACAGCCCTACTGTAAAGGCTAGCCTGAAGAAACAGATACCAAGGTCATAGTACTCAGTCATAGTAGCCAGACAGGCAAGAACCTTTAGGTTGGAAGTCTCAGAGATATCACCAATCAGGCCGCTAGAACGAACTAGAGAAAAAGAATATCAGGTCAATCTGATATATCAATAGACTGGTCGTAGTCTTATATGGGCTATCTGGATTGAGAGTTTGGTAAAAAGGTTGAACAAAAGGCAGAAGTATACTAAAGTACTGGGGTTATGCTATGAAGTAGATGCTAGGGTCTAAGTGAACTCTACAAAGGCATAGTGGTTTAATAGTTAGTCCTGATCACAAGTGTTGGTTCTGTCATAGTAATATCTAGGTTAGCTATAAAAATGAGTACAGAAGGCTCTGAGGGGTTTACCTCAAGGATAAATTAGTCCTAAGGTTGAGAACGATGATCTGGGCATTTGAGATAATTAGTAATGTTAACATAGATTATAGGTTCAGAGGGTTTAAAGTAGAACACTCAAGCAGGGGTATTAGATACGGCAATTGGTGAAGAATCTTTAAGTAAACTCCTTAAATAGATAATATAGAAAAGTTATATATATAGCCAATTGTATGCTCTCCTGTAGTAGTTTATTGAACTACAATACCAATAAGTGATTAATAAAAATCAAAAGACCAAAGAGGTCATCTTAATAAAATAAAAAAAAAAACAAAGAAGTATGTTACAACTAAATATATTTTATTGCAACTTGTTTATAAACAACAAGCTATTTTCTTAATTAAAGCTTTATTACCTGTTAAACCTTATGAAAAAATAGAATACAACCTACAAGATAGCATATTGCATTGAGTATTTAAGCTTATTGATAAGCTATCTGAACTACAAAATAATGTAAAAAAAAAACCCCAATGAGTTACAACAGAAACAGAAGAAATACTTTAATGCTAAAATTTATCATAAAATATTTGAAATAAAAGACAAAATATAAATAATTAAAAAGAATATAAAACATTTTCAATTTACTAAATTTAAAAATAAAAGAACTGAATCTTTTATTTTCAAGAAAAATTAAATAATGAAGCTTATAAATTTTATAATGTTAAAAAGAAAATATTACAAAAATACTATAATAGTAATTATTTTACTAAATATTATGTAAAACAAATATAAAAACCTTTTAATATTATTAAATAACTGAATTTTTAGAAGAAATTTCTAAAATTAGAGAAAAAAAACAATAATATTTTTTAATATTACAATTATTCAAAAATTGTAATACTTAAAAATTTATATAAACATTTTTGAATTATATAAATTTTCCTAAAAATAAAATTCTTAAAACTACAATCAAAAATAGTAATTGCTTTAAACAATTTTTTTTAAATCTGAAAACAGGATTTTGCATCTTAAAATTATTTAGATATATCATCTTAAAGTATCTTTTTTTGGAGTTATAAAGAACTAAAAAAAATTATTAATTTAAATCTTATAGTAAAAGCCTTTGTAAAATTCAATATCAATGAATTTTTACAATTAAAAAAAATACAATCTTTTCTAATTGAAGCTCTATTAAATAAAGTAATAACAGAGTTAGAAAGTAATAATACTAACCATTTGATTAAATAATAAATAATTTAAAACAAATATCTGTATTTACAATTTGAAATATAACCAACCTCTTTTTTAAAGAAATATGAAATAACAAATTAATTAAATTTTAAAGTCTTTATCTACTTCTAAATATACTTAATATAATCTAAACAGAAAATCAAAATCTATTAGTTTCTAAAATAAATAATCTTTAAATCTAATAATTCTTTAAAAATTAAAGACCTTATTCAAAATGTTCA